GTGTTTCAGGAGTCTTAGCAATAGTCTCAGAAATAGCTCAAAATCTCAGAACCTCAAGAATAGCTCAAGAATTTCAGCAATAGTATCAATAGTGTCTCGTTGCCAATGACGGAAAACCCCTGATTTGGGGGGCGCAAAGCCCCCCGGTTTTACCCCGCGCCTCTACGCGTATTGTGCTTTGCACGAGCTGTCATTATTCTACTCACAGTACGTGCGATTGTAGAGCGAGGTAAAGTTTTCACTCTCGCAATCCCTCGAGTCAGGTACAGGTTCGGTTAGTGTGTTTCACCCCTCCCCCCGTATTGCGTCAAGTGAGGAAGAAGAGGCCAAGTTTCCTTGAGGCGTTGCTGGTCATTGACTTTTTTTGGTGGAGTGTAAATAAAAGATAAATTTCGCTTTAGATAACTTTGTAATCTAAAGCGAATGAGAGACATTGTTGTGAGATGTATGTATTATAAAGGAAAAAAGTGTAAAATGAATGAAGAAAAAGAAGAAGGGGGGGGTGAGGTGGTGAATAACTGGTTTCTGGTTTCGGTGTTTACCGAGGCTTGGTTTTAATCTGTAATAAAGATAAATCTGAACCCGTTTATCATTTGGGCCAATGGGAAGGACCTATACGATTGCCTGGCTGAACAATGCAGGGATGAAGAAGGGTTTGTTTTATTTTTTTTGGAATGCGTCCCTAGCAACATGCTTATGCTCTTATTCATTCAGACAGAATAATTCAATTACAATCTGATGGTGAAAAATGAATATAAATTACTAAAAATTAAAAAATTCATTCAGATTTATATCTTATTAAAATGATGTATTGCGTAAAATGTCAAAAGAAGACTGACACTGAGGAGCGTGCTCAGTATGTTAAGACGAAAATGATAAAATATTAAGAGGCGGACGTTGCTTGATTTGTAAGAAAACTAAAACTTCTTTTGTATCAGCAAAAGAAGGGGATTTCATTTTTTCAATTCCTGCTATCCTGTGAGCTCTAGGCGCTGCTGGGTCTCTGGCAGGAGGGGCTTAAGCCATAGCTAGTACGTTTAATAAGAAGAAAGCTGATAAACTTATAGAGGAAACGAAACGACATAATGAAGCAATGGAAGCTAGAAGGGGATCCCGTTTAAGATTGATTCCAGCGAAAGAAAATCTTCACCGAAAAAAAAATCTTGTGGGAGAGGTCTCTACTTGAATCCACCAAGAAAATAATACCATTTAACCATTAACACAACATGATTTGAAACATTATTTGGGAGTGTTGAATGTTCCTAGTCAGAGATATTTTCATGATGGATACACTGCCTAGGTTATCTTTTAAAACGGAGCGAGGAATATTAAATCTTGATGTGAAAGAGGGAACTGGAACTCATTGGACTTGTTGGTATAAGGAAAATGATACTTGTTATTACTCTGATAGTTATAGCTTGACATGTCCTAACGAGTTTAAAACGTATATGAAGAAGTGCAACATTTTTTGGTTCGCCTATAAAATATAAAAAATGGGTGATGTAATTTGCGGACATTTATGTTTAGAAATGTTAAAAAGGCTGGAGTATGAGAGATTTGATTCCAACCTATTAGATCTTTATAAGAATGGGTATTAAAATTTCATTAATCTAATATTCTTTTTAAATGGCATGTATTAATATCTATGCAAATAATTTGAATCTTTCATCAATTTGCAAAGATTGTGAGGAAGAACCAATTGAAGTATTTCTCTTACAGTCTTTGAAAACTTCAATCGAAACTTTTTGAAATGAACATTCCAAGTTCAATTCAATTATTACAACCCTGAGAGAAGACTTACAAGTTGAGTTTTCTTATACTGATTCAAGTTTGAAATTTTTAAAGTCTACCCTAGACGATAAATATAAAATTTAAGAGTCTAAGATAGATTCTTCTGAAGAAAAACTAATTCTGAAAAACTAAAAACTGAAGAAAAACTTCTGAAGAAAAACTGACTGCAAACTGACAGTTTGCAGTCAGCTTTTGATGGTAAAGTCAAGAATTTGGAATTGCATGTTGAAAAAGCTAATCAAACAAATTGATGAGAAAATCATCAGTTTACAGTTAGCGCTCGATGACAAAGTAAAATATATAGAAATTGGTATTGAGGATAAACTAATGAAACAATTTGAAGAGAAAATAAATAGTTTGCAGGTAACGCTTGATGATAAAGTAAAGAGTTCGGAATTACATATTGAAGAAAATTTGAAACTGATTATTAAAGCTGATGAACAGATCCATAGAGTACATTTTGCATTTGAAGATTTAGTAAATAAAAAGCTTAAAACCTCAGAATTGCGGATTCATAACATCGAGTTACAAATTGATTGAATAGTATTTTTTACTGAAGTTGACCAGAAATTCAAAAGCTTGGAGTCCAATTTAGCTTCAATTATTGATGTAAAATTTAACAATATAACAGAACAAGTCATGGAGCTACGAGCGGGGTCAGTTTCGCAGAAAAAAAATGGAAGGTATTAATAATGATATGAAGGGTATTAAAAACGTATTTAATGACTTCTAGAGATATTATATCAAATCAGAATGAAATTAATCAGCTTAAATTGATGCTACAAAATGAAACTGATAAGAACATTGAACTGAACAAATTATTAAATGATTGTATAAATCTTGTAGCCTCACGAGTTTGAAAAAGTCTGTAGGCTTTAGTAGTTTTACTTTATTAAAATGACCGGTGTTAATGTATTTGGAACAGGAATTAATAGTACACCCATATCACATCTAACAGGTCCTCCAGGTATTGCTTTCAATATCTTGACGCTGATAAAAGTTTTGATCTGAATAATCGGAGACTTGCAAATATATCTCTTATCCAATTGAGGATAAGGATGCCGCATGCAAGAGATATGTTGATGAGGAGGTCGTAAAAGTCACAGATGTTCATATAAAAGATTCAGAAATGACAAATAAAAAAATGGATGTTGTGAGGGAGGGTGTCATGGAGCATATCAACTATCTCGAGAAAGAATTGCCTGCAGTAAAATCAATAGTGACAACTCTTGATGGAAAAGTCAATATCGAAATGGTAGAAGTGAATTCAAAGTTGGAAACTCTCGATGAGGAAGTGAAGACAATTCGGTAAAAATTGAAAAAACAAATGGTAAATTTGACGTCTTTGAATAAAAAAGTAGCATGACTGGAGTTGATTCAGGTTGAAATTAAAGCCTTTATTGATGGTGCTGTTGGAAATATAGCCTCAAATAAGAACGAACTATTGGAATTAAAGAGTTCAACATCAATTGTTTGAACGACTCAGAAAAATTGAGCGTCAATGAGGGATGGACCTTCAAACTGATTTCCCGCTAAATGAGAAACATTCAAAGTTTATAAATTCATCAAATGCATTTGTAATCTTGATTAATAAAAATGAAAGCTAATGCACAATATGAAATAATTGATAGACAATAGATTAAAAATTAATTCTACTTAATGTATTTTCGGTTTGGCTTAGAAAAGTCATTACATCTAATCAAGTGTGATGAACCCATTAAAAATATTCGAAAACATAGAATGATTTATGATGGAAATAAATTAAACTTAGTAGATGGGAGTTCATTTACACGCTATTGTCATTCAAGACAGCCTGTGAGAAGAAAGAGAAAGCTTGCTGAAATTTCTTAAATAAATGGAAGACGTAATAACAGATGTTCAAAGAGAGGTAATGTCCAATTCAGGAGATATTATTCAGCTACAGATTGATGTTGATAACATTTGCTATGATATTCACCATCTCTCCACTGAAATAAATCAGATTATAATTAAAGTGAACATATTAAAGCAAACATCCTTTCCTGTATAGCAAGTCAATTCATCAGCCTGAATATAAGTTGTTGAAGAACCCTTTCGATAAGGGATATAACAAGTCTGAAATAATTGATTTATTTTCCAACGGCAATGGCAATATTGCTGAATATCTCGAAAACCTACCTAAAAAACGTCAACAAAAATGTGCTATCGAATATATAGAGAATGCTGCTTCTGTACCTGATCCCAGTGATATAGATCCAGGGAAGAAGAATTTGTTCATTTTTTATGATATTGCTACGGAAAAGAATAAAAATCCTGCTGATAGTTTTTAGACCCGTGAAAGACATAATAACTGTAGTTCAATTTACTTATCCTAAAACTATCACATACTACAAAGACAAACCATTAGAACGAATTCAAATTTATTAATTATATTCGAGTTACCTTTCATCGAAATGAAGAATATTTATAGTGATTACATTGCTTGTGATATGCCCTTTTCAGAGTTTCAAAAACTGTGTAATGAAACGTATAAAGTACATTGTAGTTTTGTGTTGATCAATAAAGATGAGCATCCCGGGTCTGGAAAGTATTTCAAAAATTTAAATCAATTATAAATCCCAAAAAAGTAACTTCCATCAAAACACTCGCTCAAGCCCTGAGTTCTCGGTTAAAGAGTGCTTAATCGGGGCAAATGGTCATTAACTCAAGATTCGAGGGTAATTAGTCAATTTTTAGGAGTAATATTCGGGGTAAATGATCGGTATCCTGTTAAGCTGTTTATGCAAATTCGCAGATAATTGGTCGTAATAATATTATAGGAGGTTTTATTGGGGGGTAATTGGTTAATTTTGTTGGGTATGATTCGGGATAAGATTGTGGTAACCTATGATTTAAGCTGTTTATGCAAAGCGTTACCATAAGCTCGGTTAAGTAACTACTTGTATAAATTTAAAAAAAAATAAAAAAAAAATTAGAGCAAGTTGAAATTGAAAAGGAAGCCGAGCGCTGTTACGATTCAGGTATTTTGCCAATTAATATGCATTGAATTTCCCTACCTAGAATAAAATTTAAGCTGAATTGTCACCAGCTGTGGTGCATCCGCATGCGTAGCAAGTGAAAAATTACTTTGAATTTTCTGCACAGAACTCTAGAAAAGTTCCAGCTTTTTCGAAATCTACAGACAACAGCTTGAAAACATAAACACGATAAAGGGAAACACGATAACGGAAGATAATGACGTATATGTATGTACATGACAATAATATGATAACAATAGAAGTATCTACATTAGTAAGTGGTAAGAGAACTTATCATCAGGATATTAAAATGATGTACATTTAAGAATTCGTGCTTGACCTGAGGGGAACTAAATAATCTTAACGGCCAATTAATATTAGAAGTTAATTGATTATTGTGACTTCCGGCTATACATATCATCTGTGGAATTTCAGAATGGACACGGATATATCAAATGATGTTTCAGGATTGCTTCTCTTCTGACAGCGACGCGTCGTTCACATTTCTCGTCTTAACCTCAACATTAACGCAAAAATTTCCAAAAGTATGACATTGCGACACTACTTTTATTCGAATTAAAATCATATAGTTGAGATTTTATCAACATTATCATCTGTTCACCTGATCGCAAGTCTTCATTATGCCTCTTGACTCAATGATGTAATACGGTTCAAAACTTACGATTATTTATAACAAATCAGGGTTATTCATATCGTGGGAAATGTCTATACTCTATTGTCGTAACACAAAGGATGCTTTTATTTCGCATTGGCGAATATTAACCATATCATAGAGTCTAATATTAATAAATTTGGTAGATGACATGACATAAAGTAGTCTATTTCTTAATTAACCTTACAAGCTCTAATCGAACTCTGAACTCGCGTTACGAGGTTCTGCTTCTATAGCATCCATTAATGTTTCTGCGGGCGTTGCGTCCAACGCCTTCAGTTTTTCTTCTATTTCATCTAGTGATTCGTCCAAATCATTTAATTCTTCTTGCAATTCACCTAATGCTTCTTCTGATTCTCCTGAAGCTTCTTGAGATTCGTCCAGAGTTTCGTGATCAGCTGCAGTTTGCGATGATAGTTTCCTGACCGGAGATGGCAGAGCTCTCAACGCCTTCGTCACGCCCTCGATGACAGCCGCAACTTCTCGACCCTCGGCTGGGAAGTCGGAATTTCCCTTGCTAGATCCTCGCCCCTGGTCTGTGTCTGCGGTTTCCATCTCATCTTCTTTATCAGATTGAAAAATTGCCTGAAGAAGTTTGGCAAAATAATTTAATTACACCTTACAAAGAGTAAAACAAAAATTGTATCAATAAATGAATGCTAATAAAAGCACATCATACTGCATAAAACCACCAAACACACAATAGAGTGGTAAACATATTTCCTTACCGTTGCAGTGATTTGTCCTCTTCGGATCCTCTGTATGCGCATCATAACGTAGCGTCTTTTTTCTGTGAGTGTACAGTAAGGGCACGTGCATTGCTCAAACGGGCAAATAGAGTGGCCTCGTCTTTTGGGAAACTGGTGGTGGTTCCGACACTTGTCACAAACCTGTTCGAAGGTAGGACTCTATGTTATTGTTTCTATTGAATTGATATATTTTTGATATAGATTTTTCATTACTTTAGTATTATGGCAGCATTAGTATAATAGTTGATATTATTTATGACCAAATGACGCAGAAGGAAATCACGAAATCACCTGCCGCAACTTAGCCAAGTGGCCAAGATTTGCTTTGTTGAGTTCTTTTGCCTGGTGTCTCCATAGCGCCTGTTGGTGTTTCATGACAATCCTCGCTATCCTCGTGAGGCGGCACAACAAACACTGACACTTGTTATAAGGGCATTGGTGGCCTGGCTTCGGCATCGTGAAGCCGTGGTTTTGGCAAAACGTGCAGCTTTGCATCCGCTTTTGTTTGGTTCGCTGGGCGAAAATGCGGGACTGAGAAGTGGGTACAAGCTCGAGTTTGGAACCTGCCTCATTGATTGGCGGCGGCGCAGAGCACGACTTGCTCCCTCCATAACTCTGAAAACAAACAAAAACTTAATTGAGCAACGGACACAAATGCCTTTCTTAGGTCCTATATGCATAGTTCAAAGACTAAATTTTAGATTAAAACGGAAAACTATAAAGACATCCCACTTTTCCTGAATTCATAGTTGTGTTACAAAAGAGTCGAGTTTTTAACCTAAAAGATAAATCAACAGTGTGATGGCTCATAACGGGGCATTCCACTGTTACACGGCCTTATAAGGAGAGGTCCACACGGCCGCGTGTGGTCATACGCGACAAACACGTTATCTACGTGTTCATCGAAGTGCAAAACAGACTTCGTGTAGCAGAAATGCCGTTTTGTTTCCTTACGAATCATTCACTGACTTATAAAGTGATCCCTCAGAAAAATCCTTGATAAAATGTGAATAAATTTAGCTCTATTAGCTTATTATATCCCATTTCCAACATTTTTTGTAAACATTTTCGCCTGCTGCAGCTCTCAGCTCAAAAGTTTGCATCTGTGTTGCGCATTATCCTATTCAAGAATAATATTGTGCTGCATATAACATCGAATATGTTACATTAAAACAAGTTTTGAATGATGATTAACCTCATTTCGATCCTCGTTCATCATCGACGCTTCATCGATGTCACAATACGTTTGATCTTCGGCTCTTCTTGCCGTTCGATCGTTGTTTTTCAAACTTCTTTCGGTTGAAGCTTGTTGATTATTTTCAGTTTCCTGCCAGCTTCTCCCAGCACCTTGACTTCGGTAGCTGCTTGCAATTCCCGTCGTTTTTGTTCGAAGATTCTGTGAACTGCTGCTCACATCTGACGTGGATCTCACGCCGCATCCGCTCTGTGAATATTCCTTACTTTGGTCGCCTTCGTTTATTGTTCCCTGAGCTGAATCGACATGTTCTTCATTTGCTTGACTGGTTAGAAGACCTCGAATTTGAGAAATAGTTTCTTCGTTATCATTCATGTTTTGCGTCAATCCTGGAATTGTTGTACCAGTAAAGTCGTTCGAATCGAGGCCGGCAGGTTGGTCGTTTCCAGGTTGGTAGCACAATTCTGAGTCCATCAGACTCGAATCTGGTGACGCGTGGCTTGAATTTGGCTCAGATTGTGAGACGAAGTGAGGCCTTGGATATAAGAAGTGATGCATTTCGTTGGGAGTCATTTTCTGAGATGAGAGACATGAAACAAAATCATTCAACGGAACGCCTTGAGACCGATCACTGGACACACTCGAGCAAGGTTGTGGATGTTCAACAGAATTCTCCTCTGAGCTGTTCAATTCTTCACGTATCAGCTCCAGGTCCTGAAGAAATGCAAAAAATTGAAACTCTCGAGCTTCTCGTTTTATTATTTTCTTCCTGCTTTTTTTCCATTTGAATTAGAGGGCGGAATTCGAAATAGGAGTTCCCGAATTTTTTACGCACTGAAATAAAGCGGAATTTGGAATGGAAAAAATACCAGTTCACAAAAGGATATCTGAGCAGCTGAATTCATCTCTCATCTAAATACTCGCTCGTGATCTTGGTTAAAATATGTATAAGCTCCTAAAAACTCACTGAGAAATGCATAGCAGGAACCATCGGCTAGATATATTCATTATTTGTTTTTTCGTATACGTATGCATCAATAGTCCTGGATGTGTGGCTTGCGATGCGCAACTGATCAGAATGGCCGGAACAACTTTTTAGCTAGCCTACCAAAAATTATTCTTGCTATATCATCATTTATGATATTGTCGGCCAAGTGAATAAACACTGACTACAGCTGCCCAAGCACTATCTTAAATAATTGGAAGATTTTTCCTGATATAACTTAGTTCATATTGTTAATTCATTTAATTTATATATTAAATTAAACCATATATCAAGGGGTAAAATTTGATCATAAATCATCTTCAACTCATTCCAGCCAACCACTTTGCCATTGTTCAATATAATCTTTAGACCGCTAGCTTGATGGTCAAGTCTGTTATCAACTTATCGACTATGAGCATAGATGATCATTTAACCAACTTCGCATTTTACCCAGATCACTTACCTCGGAAGTGACGTTGGCACGACGTATTCTCTGCAAGTATTTCGAGACTTTTCTCCTCTTGCTTGTGAGGCCGCAGTGCTTGCATGTGCAGGTATCGAAGGGGCAGGAGTGGCCGCGCCTCTCCTTAAACTCGCTGTGGTTGCGGCATTTGTCACACAGCTTCTAAAAGAATTGGTTCTTTCGGAGCAGCCAAAATTTATTTGACATCTTAAAAAAGAAATCAAATATAAAAGTTATCTAAAATATTATTCGGACATATTTGGCGGTGAAAAAAATGTTTTATCAAGAATTTGAATGAATCAATTAGACTAATTACCTCTCTTTTAGATGCTTTCATTTCTTTGTAGGATTCATTGTTCACAAGTTCTTTGTTTTGCAGCCTCCAGTGAGCCTGCTGATGTTTCATGATGGTCTGTGAATGAACGACTAGCTTGCAAAGTAAACATGTGCAGTTTTTGAACTTGCAAACATGGCCGTATTTCCGAATCGTCAAATTGTGGTTCCTACAGAATGCGCAGTGTTGAACTCTCTTGAGACTCGCTTTTGATTCTTGCACGACATCTTCATCAACCCAATCGTCGCCACCCTCCGAATGCTCTGGCGACTGCGATCTGGAGGCGTGTTTATCCTTATGAAATAGAGAATTATTGAGAGTTAATTATAAAAAAACAACTACTCTAGAATCAATATTATAATTCATTAGAATGATAATCTAATTGATATCAATATAGGCTGAAGTGCGAGTCTCAAGTTAAGTGATGAAACCAGCAGGTAAACCTATAAATTCATCTCAATTTCTAGAACTTTTTATTAGGGTCAGATTTGTAAGTTCACAAGAAATTTGGCTTACCATCTTAGTTAGTTGGTTGCATTCGTTAAAGGAAATATTATCTATTTGAGTTGGAAGCAGACTTTCTCGGCTGTGTCGCCGTTCAGGCTCCAGAAGAGCTCGTTCCAAGATGGACGTCGAGCTTCTCGTTTCTTGTCCAAGGTTGTTTTCCAGGGTTTCCAGGGTATCTCGTCTATTTCTTGCATCTTGCTGCGTCAACTCAATACCAGTAGTGTAATTCGATGCGTATATTTCAGCATTTTTATTTGATATTTGTGAAAAGACATTGAAGGCCTGCATGGTCAAGGAGTCATCTCTCCGGAGTCCTTCTCTGCTAGAAGAATCCAGTAATTCTCGTGGTATTGATGGGACTTCGTGATATTCTAATCGCCGCAAGACAGGCGGTTCACCGCGTCCGTGAACAATGTACATTTTCCCCGGTGTAGTCCTTTGAACAAACTTTAAGTAACCCGGGAGTAGCCGCTGTTGAGTACTTGCTTCTGTTCGATTCTCACTTGCGTGCACGGGCATATGGGATCGGTTCTGAACAACAACGTCATCAAGATCCTCTTGCCTATTAACTAACTGAACATTCCGGGGAACCTGACTTTGGATAATTTCAACATTCCGAGGAAATTGTCGTTGAATGGTTCCGACATTTTGTGGCAATTGTCTTCTGATAATTCTGAAATTTCCGTCTACATCCCGTTGAACAAGATCAATTTCATTCGACATAAGGTCTCGGATCATTGATCCATCACCAAGAATTTGTCTTGGCAAATAGCGTGCATCATTGGGTAAGTTTTTGATCGTCGAAAAAATTGACTCTTCGCCTTCACCATCTGGGATCGAAATTATTCTTTGATATTGCTTTTGTAGAAGAGGAGAATGAATTGAATCAGAGTTTTGACTAAAATTGTTATTAGTTCTACAATGTTCACGAAACTGTAGAACATTTCCACGTACATCATGTTCTTCAATGTTAAATACTTTTTCAGATTCTTGTCTTTGTGAAAATTCAGTAGTATGGGCAACATGTCTTAGTTCTGTAGAGCTGCCCAATTGTGCTCGTGTATAAGAATCATTTAAAACGTCTTGCTCGCGTGCGAATAAAACGTTTCCCGGTACTTGGCTTCGAATACTAACATTGCCGGTCGAATTTTGTCGCGTGACTTGGAAACTTTCGTTTCCTCCTCTACCTTCTGCATATCCACGATCTATGCAGTGAGTGCGTTGTCCACGGGACGCTTGTGTCAGTTGGATTGTGGAGGTTCCAGGTCTTGTCAAAAGTTGTGAGATCCCGCGGTTTTGGGTTGAACGAGGAATTGGTTTTTGAAGGTGCCTTTCAAGTTCCGGTTTGAGTTTAGCAATATCTTGAGTTGGAAGAATTGAAATATTTGTTACAGATTCTTTTGAATGGATATCCTTATTGAAATACGAATTTGAATGATTTTTGTGTTGACTGTTGATTGAATTTGCAGCAACGCTTGTTTCTCCATAGATCGAGTTTGAATTCCTTCTTACTGATATTGAATCAGAAAATAAGTTATCGCTTTCACCTATCGGCATAATTCGCTCGTCGCGATTTGTGATTGAAAATGATTCATGTGCTTGCAGTAAAACGGAATTAGGGTTCTCAACTTGCACCGGCTGGAAATATCTTTCTTCATTCTCCATTGAAATTTGATTTCGCAAGCGAATATGGAAAGAATTTAGATTTTCGCTAGGCCCATCATGGCTGAAACGAGTATTGTCACGTCTTTGAACATGATGGGGGGCATCATTTCTACTTCCCGTTGTCTCCAGCGAATCACCCCTGGCTTGTCGTGTTTCTGCGTAGGATTTGTTGTGCTTCGCCTGTGAAGGATTTAAGAACAAATCATGATTGCTTGGTCTAGGGTTAAAGTCTTCATTACGAACTAAAATCTGAGCTCGTGGCTGGGAAATACTCGGCGAGGATTAAGGGCTCCTCATCTTTTATCTCCGAGTCGATCATTGCAGCAACTGTTGACGTAGATTGGTATCACAAATAATTGTTTAGAAGACTTGTGTGAGAAGCACGTCACAGCCTGATCCCTGACAAAGTATTACAAGTAGCGTGTTCGGCAGGCCCGCTGAAAATATTTATATTCGAAACTCTTATAATTTTAAATGATTACATAACACTGTTATGGGCTATCAAGTATAGTTTATGTTCTCCCTGTGCAAAAATAATAGAAAACTGAAAAGTTATCGCATGCCTAAGTATTAATGAAGTTAGTGACTAAATTAGATGGTGAAAATGAATTAACTTCATTGAATTTGTCTCTTATCTGTAACCTCGGTATGAGGTTCGGTAAAATGTTACCTCTGAATGAGGTTTCATAAGTTTTTAGTCGCTAAAATGGCTTCAAAATAACGGATACATCCCTGTTCAAATCAAATGAACACAAACTATAAAGCTTTTTATTATTACAACACTTCTCTTTAACTTCACTTCTTGTTTGTTTGTCTGTCTGTCTGTCTGTATGCTACAAATTTTATAATCGATATTTAACACACTTCTACATGTCCAATCGATCTGAAATTTGGCACACTTGCGTAAAGTTGGAGACAATGCATTAATCAATTGACAGAATAAATAAATTTATAAATTAAACATTTTTTTTTCATTATAAAAAAAAAATAAAAAAATAATTTCGTCTGCTACAAATCTTATAATCCATATATGACATACAATTTGTCCAATTGATCTGAAATTTTGCACAATTGCATAAAGTCAGAGACAATGCATGAATCAATTGACAGAATAAATTATTTTGAAAATTTACAAAATTTTGATATCTTAAAAAATTTTTGAAAAATATATTTTTTTTCAATATTTGAAAATAAAATTAGAAATTCATTGTACATGTGTAACTACCAAGACACTGGATTGTTCAGAAGTGTTGTCTTTAAAAAACAATTTTTAAACGCATATCATTATAGTTTAAAAGTGAGTAAAGCAATTGATTGCATGCATACCTTACAAATGTTATGAAAACTGCTCCATTGAGCAGATTGTGGTGTATGAAAGTTAAGCATCCAATTAGTTATCTCGCGTATGCAATACAAAGGAAAAACGTGCTACAATTCCTACACTATTATTTCCTGACACTTAATCGATAACTCGCAGTTGATGTGTTGTGGTGGCCTACGTACACCTGTCACTTATGCACCCTCTACTCTAGGAGAAGGGACGCTCTGGAGAAACACGTCTCTATAAAGGCACCCTCTATCTCAGACGGCGCGTCAGTCACTTCTGAGTTTCAAGAAAATGTTCTTGGAGCGAGTACCTGCTGTTGACCTTATATAGTTCGTTCTCTACAAAAACTTGTCCAGCATCTCTGTGCATCGCATTGTCTGCCGTTTGATGGAGTATGTCCTACGGTGATTCGCATACTAATATAAGATGGTACAGACTTATCCTGAGAGGCACAAATGAGGGAAAAACGAAACTGCAGTAACACAAACACACTGCGTCTCATCAGAAATGTGGTAATGCCATAATCGGTAAATGTACCTAGAATATGACTGTTTAGATGGCGCATGCGAAAAAATTGTATGGGTTAGATACGAAAATCTACGTCATCGATGTGATTTGGCTATGCAAACTTAATATTGATAAAAACCTTTCCCGAAGAAATTACAAAAAGAATAAACTGTCAAAGAAGAACATTTTTCTGCACCATTTGAGCGATTACCTGTCGGAGATTCTTGGATGTTTTATTTAAAGGATCTCAATGCTTTCCACCAAGTCTGATGGAGATGGCAATTATCACGCTGCTATGAATGGGTCATGTTTTACGAGACAGTGTAATGTGTTCACGTGAAAGCTGAAGGAATTAAAGCTGCTGCCAAGTTTCTATGGACAAGACCTATATAATTGCTGAGATGCTGATAGGGAAGGCAGTTAATTTCCTGTAATTTCTTCCGTAGAATCTAAATGATGACTTCGACGCTTTTTAAATGAATATTGAATTAGATTTGGCTCATTTAATGAGGTAAAACGATCTTTATCGGTTATGCTGAAAGGATCGGTTTTTGCCTAGATGATATTATGGGCCCGGTTAATTCTCAAGTAGTAATTCACTAAAGCGATTAAAAAAGCAGTCTGGTACACGACGCTTTCAAATTAAAAAGCTTGCTGTATATACAATTGATTGATGTTTGGTTACTCTCTTTGCGGATCAACGCTTCTTACACTCTTTCATGCTTGCGACGACAGAAATGAAAATATTTCAGAAATATGCCGTTAAAATACATTTTTTCCTAGTGCATCGTGATCTGTACATCCGGTAGATCAGAATGAAGTGCTGAAAGTGAAAGTTTATTTACTGCATTTGCAGTCCAGAAACGTGCATGGATAACTCAATAAAGCTTTCATCAATTTAAGGAGCTTCAGCTGTACTTCTCACTAAGGCTTTATAATCTATTCGATTCCCGTTCTCAGTAAAACGTACTGTAGTTTCCAACCTAAAATAAATGTGCTGTATCAATTGGTAACAATGTCACTGCAATAAGATGTTGATGGAATACGCACAAGCCGGGTGAGGGTACGAAATTTGGAAACGAAGCGTAGATAAAAAGAATTACCTGTGATTCAATCAGTTAGCTCCTCAGTTTCAGAAGAAAAATTTCTGCTTCGATAGCAGGCTCACCAAATAAATAAAATGAATGCTATAGTGAGACATTTGGGAAAGAAAGGAGGCTGGTTGGCTGGGATATCGCGGAAATTAATAGAGCCACTCATGATTAAGCGGTATTTTAGAATTTCGTGTACATGTGCTAGATATACACTAGATTTATTTATCATCTCATAGGCAATGAGAAATTTTGTGATCTCTCCCGCAATTATGAACTTGATATTGCAGCAATTTAGAAATTTCGTGTTTGGAGGTAATTTGTTATATATTCTCTGGTCAATACGAGCGCTGGTTTGGGCTTTTTTGACTTTACGAGTGCCGACTTTGCAGAACAAAAATTTCTAACATTCTGGTCGTTTAAGTCTGGCGTCGAATTCGTGAAAGACTAAATGCATTTACATTCTCCATTTGCCCAAATTAACAATTGCTTGAATAAAGCGTCGTTGCAAGTTTACCATCATCATCACAACTCTGTTAGCAGAATATTTTTAACCATTTAGCGGGTAAGTTACCAAATACGAGTATGCTCAAGTGCTCACTCAAAATCTCCTTCCAAAAGGGCCCAGCTTATTCCCAGCTGGCCCTGGCTAATTTTTGAGGCTACGTTATCGTCCTACTGACAATTTACAATCATCTGCCCATCTATACATTCGTATTTTCACCAACTGCCGTCCCGAGGAACTAAAATATGAGTATTTAAATGAATGTTTTGACTTGGGGGATGAAATTGAGGCTCTTTCCGCATTTTTATAAAGTTGGAAGAAGCAATATCAACTTAATTAATTTAAAGTAACTTGAGAAAATTAAACCAAATTGAAGCTCGATAGTCTCCCTTTGTAGTTAAATTTATTAATTAAAAAAAATTAATTATTTAAGCGTAGTGACCGTGTTGGTTTTCCACGTCAGCTATAACAAATCTATAGCTAACAGATTACATTGTTAGGGAATTTAGGATTTGGTATTTTCACAAGTTTGTACTTTTGTAATTTTAGTTTTCAGTTAGAAGATATGGAAGTTGTAACCGTCCGTTCTAGTCAGTCCCGCGTATGGGTCACCTGCCGAAGACCACCACTGCCTTGGATGTAATGGACCATCATGATTCCTGCCTTCCGGAACGTAGCCTTCAACATTTCTGGACAATCCCATCTAGGGCGTGCGTCGAACCAGCCCTCGGTCGAACGGCCACTCGTCGAAGGACGATAAATTTTGGAACAGAACTACAACGGTCTGCCTACCACACTCTACCAATGGCTTCGTCAACCTATCCTCTCAAACTCGAGCAAGGAGCAAGTAGAACTCCTAAACCTTGGACTGAATTGTCATGTGACATTCAAATTCAGGATGGCGAAAAAAAAATTGAACTCGAGCTATGGTACGAATCCCTACTGAAACTTAAGGAAGATAAAAGAATTGATATAAGCCCAAACTTGAAAGATCTACTGCGAGCTGAAGCTACCAAAAAACGATGCTCATTGACATCAACTGTCTTAACTCCGGCTCTACGGCAAGCAGCTAAACAACTCAGAGACAACGACCGAATTGTTATACGAAAAGCAGATAGAAGTAACATTTTCGTAATTATGGATAAAACAGATTATATCTCAAAAATCAATGCAATTATATCGAACGAGTCCAAATTCTGTTGTGTCGCAAGATATCCAACAGAACAGCTTCAGAGGAGAGCAAATAAATTAATCAACACAGCAAACTCTGCAATTGGATCTAGAAAACTTACCCCGATTGTTGGGGGATACCGTATTCTCCAGGCTACCTCTATGGAAACGTCAAAACTCGCAAAGAAGACAACCCACTAAGGCCGATAATTTCGCAAGTCACTTCTCCTGTATACAGTTAAGACCTCTAAAGAACTCGATGCTATAATTAAACCATATATCCCTAAGAAATACTCTCTGAAATCTAGAAATGACTTCTTGGAAATTATTCATGCCTCGCACCCTTCTGGCCTGCGAGCTTCGCTGGATGTTACTAGTGTGTTCACTAATGTACCAACCGAAGAAACGTTAGAAATTATCATGAAGCATGTGTATTCGCACGAAACCCTGCCAGCCCCATCTATACAAAAAAGATCTTAATTGAACTTCTTCGCCTCTGTACATCAGAATCTCCCTTCCGGACTTCTGATAACAAAATTTACCGACAAATTAACGGCGTTGCCATCTGATGCCCTCTGGGACCAACTTTTGCAGAATTCTTTATGTGTGAACTGGAAAATCGAGTGCT